CCATAGCTCTCGTTGTAGGGCCTGCCCTGATGCCCCCTGATCATGCGAGTGGCCCTCCTCTGGACCCTCTCCATGTTGTCCACATCCCTCCTGAAGTGCGGCGCCCAGAACTGGACACTGGAATCTTCTAAGATCCTCTAGGATCTTTCCAATTTGTCCCCATCTTTCTTAAAGTGTTTACCCAGAACTGGACATATTAGTCCAGGTGGGGCCTTATCCTCGATGAATACATTAAAATCAGCTCCTGTGGCTTTTAGATGGCACTCCTATTAATACACTCCAGAATGTTATTAACATTTTTCCCCTCAGTCTTTATGTAACATTGACCCCACCCCTTTAAAGACCAGTAACTACCTCTCAAACCCTCTGTCACAAGGCCCCAACAAATTCCCACCTGCCTCTGTCCACTAAGATCTTTTCCTTCACACCTCCCTCCTAGTTTTCCTTGTGAACAAATTTTATCGGCTCCACATTCTTCTAGTCAAGCCACTTAAAAAAAGCAAGCAGGCCAGCCAGGCAGAAATCTTCGGTTTGCAGATATCTTAGGTTTGCAGATATTCTTGTATGTGCAATAGGGCAGGTCAGATCACATAGCTATTTCCAGATTTAAAAACCATTTATTGCCCGAAGATTCTACACTCCAATCCAAAACTCAAATGAATCTTTTCCCTCTCTCCAGGTTTCTCACTTTCACTTGCTCCTCTGATTTTAACAACATTCATCTCCCTGCCTCCCAACTCTACTCATATTCATAATAGCCTCCTTAATCCATCTCCCAGCACTCTGATCTCCCATATTAATCTTGTAGACATGTTTCCTATCTGGCAGTCTCCCTATTCCACTTTGCTTTTAAAGTCTTAGCTGTCAGACCATGTCTTAAGACACTCTCCACTTCCCCATTTAGTTTCTGCCTCCCTCTTCCTCTGTTCCAGTTCCACACAAATTACGTGCCCCTCACCCCACACAACCTGCCTCAGGAGACGGAAGAACAAGTTATTGCTGGGTTCATGACTGATTTCCCCAAAACAAGCCCAGCTCCCTACAACCTAGCTAAATTCTCTCCTCCCCAGTTCTCAGACCATTTCAATAGCCTGGGGTGGGAGGAAGGACAGGGGGAAGTGGTTCCAAAAATTAATCTCACTGAAACTTCTTGTCTATCAAGCAAGAAAACAGAGAAGCCCATGCAGCTGAGACTCCTACACCACAAACCACTAATTCAGCAGTCATCTGGAGATGAAGGAAGGAGAATTTTGCTGAGAGCGGCTGTGGAAAGAAGTCCCACCCTACCTCAGGCAAGACACCTTACTCTGAAGGTAGGGATACGCTACCACTTTTTTTCCTCTGCAGCTTGCTAAACATTATTGTAGGCAATTATCTTCTTTGAAGAAGATATCCTATGCAGATGAGATGATGCCATAACCAGATGTCTGCATTATTTCCAAACTAATGCCAGAAATTTGTTTTAAAACACAGCTTAGTGAACTGACATTTTTAATATTTTATATGTACACTAAATGTTTATAATTATATATACACTAAATGTCTGACAAGTAATTATTCTTTGAAAGAAAGGGTGGGAGCAAAATGTCAATTCAGAGTATACTCTGTTTAAATACAAAGCCTGCTGACAAAAAAAGGACTATGTTTATAAGCAAGATGTGTTTACCAAAAAGTTAATGGAAAGAATGATCATTCAGTACATAGCACTGTCAGTGATGGTACATTTAGGACAGCTGCCCTGAACTAACTGTTCTCATGTTCAAGGCTTGGCAGTCCTGAACTGAGGAGAGCTAGTAATTTCATGGTTGTTAATACCCCAGCACTGACAGTTCTGTGCACTTAAGGAGCAGTGTTCCTCATGCTATCTGTGCTGTAGTATTAGCAGCCCAAAAACTAGTTCCCATAATTTTCAAGGCTTTTAATAGCAGTCCTTTGACAACTACTTTCTCTTTCCTGTTTCTGGCACAGATAAGTAGAATATAATGGAGTTACCAAGTGGGCAGTAAGGCTAAAACATACTATGCACTTTGGGTTGACCAACACGCTATTGCAGTGTTACTGTGTAAACAACAGACAACAAACTAGGGCTAACATTATGTTATGCAATGAAGCAAATTATACACTGATCCAATAAGAATACAGCTGAAGTATATTGTAATAGTACACTGTACTGATACCAAAGTTAGTAGTACACTATATAGTCTGGTATAAAAATCAAAGTAATCTTAAGAGAAAGGAAGTGGAAGGTGCAGGTTTTATTCAGTGTCCTTCCAGCACCATGTGTTAAATAAGGATCAATAAGAAGCTACTAGAAGCATTGTGGCAAAAAAACAATCTACCGATATTGGTTTACTATGCTTTTAAGATTCAAAATTGGCACTTGAGAATGCCAGTGTAACAAAAGCAGCTGATTATTGATTTCCAAGTGGGAAAAGACTTTAGATGCTATTACTGATGATCAGTAAGAGATAATGGAAAGTTTAACTACTCCTTCAACCTCTCCCAAAGTGGTTTTGAAGTAAAGGTGACAGCACTGATTTCTGGGAGATTTACAGGAAAAAACACTAAGGAGGTATTTCATAGGATTCTTATCCTCAATTAATTGAGCACTACAAGGCCATTTTGATTTTCCAGACTGAATCTTACTAATGGTAGGTTGCAGACAGAAACAGAACTGAAACACAGAAAGCTTTTATAGCCTTCAGATTGCTCAGAGACAGGTTAACGCATGGCATGCTTTTCTAAGTCTGCTACCCCTAGAGGACATCTTCCTGATACATGTTAAATCCTTAGGACAGAAACTGATGCAAGTATAAAAATAAAATAATAAGCATAGGAGTATCATCTGAAAATGAACCAAAGAAACATGAATATATAACCAGGTAATTTACACCACTTATATAAAAGAACATTTCCCTTAGCAAAAGAGTGGCATAGGCTTTTTCATCAGGTTTCTTATACAATGTTTCAGCATTTAGAAAGCAAGTGAAAGCACTGCATAAGTGAGAACGCCATTCAGCTCTATTGTCAGAGTACAATTAGGCGTTTAGATGACCAGGAAGCATATTCAAACCATCTGCTTTTGTGTTGCCCAACTCAGGACCCCTGCGTTACAACGCAAAGCTCAACGTTTGATATTTGGGAGCAGTTCCCGCCGAGACCTACAGAACTCAAGTCAGTGGCCTACCATGATCAAAGACTGGGTATTCTGAAGGTGTTGGTTGCAGCCGTGTTGGTGTAAGGACACAGGCAGACAAGGTTCTTTGGCTAAATGTGGGCATATCTACGAGACACTTACTGCGCATTAGCCTAATAAGACTGTGCAGTAGTTTGTAACAGCAAAAACCGAGCTAATAGCCTACTGCATTGCATTATTAGCAGGGATCCTATTTTTCTGATTAAAAAAAAATCCCCAATTTTTGGATTTAAAAAAGTAACCCAGAATACACATTTTTTTCCTTGATTAAAATGAAACACCACTCTCTACACATCTATATATTAGCATTTCATTTTAATCATGGAAAAATGCAGTTTTTGGATTACTTTTTTGAATCCAAAAATTGGGTGTGTGGGTTTTTTTAATCAGAGAAAACCAGGAACCCTGGTTATTTGACTAATGCACAGTTAAGTGTCACTAAATAACCATGTGCTCGCACTACTGCACAGGAACTCTACTCACTGTGCATTCAGTTAGTATTTCATTAAGGAAGTACTAAACCAAATGAGCAGTAATTAGGGGTATAGTTTGTAGCCATGTTGGTGTAAGGACATAGGCAGACAGTCTGGTATCTTTTAGTATAGTGTTTCCCCACCTTTTCCAGCCCAAGGCACGCTTACATTAATAAAATTTTTCTGCAGCACGCCTGCTGACGCATTCCCCATCCTCCGACCTATTATAACCCATTATAGCCCATTACCCTGGCAAAATTCTGCAGCACACTGGTTGGGAAAAACTGTTTTATTCAAGCAACTCAAAAACTTCTTTTTCACAAGCTTTTGGATATACAGGCATACCCTGTTTTATTGTGCTTCACTTTACTGCACTTTGCAGATATTGCGTTTTTTACAAATTGAAGGTTTGTGG